AGCTTGTACCGCCCCGTGGAGCGGGGCCAGCGGGTGTTCAACCCCCTGAAGGTGCCCGCTAAGCTGCAGGCCGCGCTCCCCTTCAAGACCAAGCCCAAGACGGTGGGGACCTGCGGCGGGCTTGTGCATGTGTTTGTTGTTTGGTTCACGTGCGCCAACTGTGTGGGAGTCTGTGTGCAGTCGCAACTGCTGATGTGGCGGCCCGTGTCAACTGCTGCTGCCAGCCCCACCTTGCTTCAGCGGTGCTACCTGCACCATGATTACCCTGGCATGCCGAGTCGATTGCCACTCGGAGCAGGTGCACGTTCCTGTACCCCGGAACCACCCCCAAGCACCACCCAACCTACTGCCCACGACGCCCCCCATCCGACCGCAACAGGAGGCGCCCCGCAAGCGCAAGTCGCTGGAGCAGCGCCGCGCGGTGGTCTTGGAGAAGCCGGAGAAGCGCGCCGCCGCCCTGCTGCAGCAGCTCAACGCGATTCGCAACGACAAGGCCGAGAAGCGGCGCGAGCAGGCCGCGCGCAAGCGGGTCGTGCGGGACAAGGCGCAGGCGAAGGAGAACGAGTGGCGGGACAAGTGGGTGGGGCCGGGCGGCCGGGGTGGTTGCTCGGCGCTCATCGAGACCGGGTGGTGGGGAGGATGCATCTGTGCTGGGGGCTTGAGGATTGGATGGCTTTGGCGTTTACTCAGGGCTTTGCAAACAGCATAGGTCTCAGCTCCATCAGTTGAAAATTGTCGGAGGATGCGCGGTCAGCGCTCGCGCTCATACGCGCACCAGTATGCGCACATGTCTGCTCACAGTTCATGAAACCACTCTGGGCACGTTGGCGAACTCCAAGGGCACCCCCCCCCAAACACCCCCACCGCCGCTGCAGGCTGAAGAAGGAGCGGCTCAAGGAGCAGTACAGGGAGCAGGGCAAGGCGGCCAAGAGGGCGGCAATGGCGGCAGAGGGAGGGCCGTCGGCCAAGAGGCGGCGCAAGTGATGGTGCCGGCCGCGGTCCGCCCACGCAGCGCGGGCGACGGCTCCTGCGTGCTGGTGTGTTGCTTTCATGTGGTTGACTGTTCAGATTCCGCTTACCCTCTGGTCATTACGACTTCTCAGTTGTGCTTTTGGTGTTCGCAATTGTAATTGCCAACCGCTGACCAAAGCAGCCCGGGCCTGGAACTCCTGCAGTAACAGACTCGTCAGTCAGTTGGAGTGACACGGGGTGACACGCAATGTCCACTCATCAGGCGGGTCACACCATCTGCAAAAGCTCCCAACAGCCGCTCTCGCTCAGCGCAGCGACATGGGTTACGGCAAACACAGAAGCGACAGCAGAGGTATGCAGCAGGATGCTGCAGCGGCTGACGTTGCCCGTGCCAGCCGTATCTCAATCCATTGATTGGCCCATATCATCTTTAGCCGCCAACTGGCCCAACACACTTGCACACATCATGGAGCATTTTGAGACGAGTGTGGGCCCCCCCCCACACACACATACACACTGAAGCCGTGACTATCACCAGCCTCAGCTGAACAGCGGACCGTCGGAATGCACACACCCACTGTGTGCGCGCGCAACAAGCTGCCAGCCAGCCGCTTTCTGCATCCCTGTTCGCCGCTCTCTGCATGTCCTAAGGCGCGATACAGCCCTGACCGCGCCGTTGTGGGTTCATTGCAAAAGACTGCCAGGAAACATGCAAGTCCAGGCAGGCTGATGGTTCCCGTGGCATCTGAAGGCGCGCACCATTGCAAAAAGCGACTGCTACCCAGCTGGCCCGTCACCAGGATTGGCATGACTGAGGCCCAGGCAGTTACATTCTGTTTTTGGGACATGCCGCTTGGCCAGCAAGATAGGCCCCTGCTGCAGAGCAGGGCGGGCGTCCTTGCAGGTGTATGCATCAGGCGAGACCAAAAAAGGGTGCCACTTGCACATGTAGCAGATGAAGACTACAACCACGAGCCGTTTGGTGGCAGCCGGCTCGAGCCAGCTGGATTCTTGGCATATGGCAGAGTTGATGACACGCAAAAGTTCTTGTGTGAGGGACCACATTCTGGATGCTTGCATGTTTCAGATTCAGATCAACGCAACGTTGGCTGAATCGAGCTTGTCGAGCCAGAAGTGGCACATTGAAGGACACCAGATGGGGGGCTGCCATGTGAAGAGGCAGCTGTAACAGAGTGTCTGCGGCACCCGCGATGCAGCTCAAGCAGCAGCACAACGGGACTTCAAGAACCGAAGAGGCAAGGTGTATGCCATTGGTGGCTTGCCTGGCTCAACCGGGGAGCCCGCCCCTTTCTTTTTGTGCCTCATCGCGCCTCTGTGCCCTTGGACTTGATGATCGCATCCACCACCTGGCAAGGCGGCGGCATGGCCGGGGCAAGGTGAAATACGCGTCGCTGGGAAACTGCACCAGGTCGGCAGCAGAGGCGGCAGGCACTTTGGGGCCATCAAGAGCAGCATCGGGGATTCGTGGCTGCAGGACGTGCGCACAAGGCGGACGTGCACAAGGAGCACATCTTGAAGCTGGACTGCAGTCAGCATGGGTGCAACGATTGCGAACCGTGCTCAGGGCAACCCGTGGTTTCAGCGCAGAGGCTACACAAGACGGCAACCGGATGCGCGCGCGCGTGCGTGCGTGCGTGCGTGTGTGCCCGGCCGACCTGGGGCTCTGCGAGGCCCGAGATGTCCCCAAGCTCGTCGAAGCGGCCGAGGGCGATCTTCTTGAGGATGCGGCGCATCACCTTGCCGCTGCGGGTCTTGGGCAGCCCGGGGGCCCTGGGGGGAAATGTGTTGGGTCGAGGGAGGCTTGCACGCTGACATTCCAGGGCTGGGGAGGGGCAGGCTGCAAGGGTCTCAGAACAGCCCGCCTCAAAGACGTCTGCATGGGGCCCACCCTACCCGGCCGTACCACGTCCGACGCTCTCGCCCTTTCAAAACGACGGCAATAGACCCGCCCCAGCTTGCTCAAGCCCTCCGCAATCGCTCCTCGCTCGAGCCGGCCCCGCGCACTCACCAGTGGATGGTGTCTGGCGCCGCGAAGGCGCCAATGTTGGCGCGCACCAGCCCCAGCAGCTCCCTGCGCGTGGCCTCGCTGGGGGCGGCGCCGTTGAAGAGCACGACGTAGGCGTAAACTGACTCGCCCTTGACGTCGTGGGGTATGCTGGGGGGTGGGTTGAGG